GGGGGGGGAGGGAGGGAGATATACTGTCGCAAGATATGGGAAGGGCAATTACCTGCTCGCACCTGCAGGATGATGTCATTTACGTTGGACGGAATTCTCCATTCACCAGGTGAAGTACCGCCGCCGATTGTATAAGAGGAGGGCAGAATTGGCATGAGCGGCATTATAAGCTTTTCATACCTGTTCCTGTGAGCACTCGTGAAATCGTGCGAATCTCTTCAAGAGGTGCACGATTAAATTGCCGGCTGTGTTTCAAGGTCAGACCTATCGTAAGTAATGTCGGTAGCCGAATGCATTGAGTTTCCAAATAAGTTAGCTTGTACGGCTTTTCAGTTGAATTGATGACTGTGGTAAGCAGGCTAGCTGTGAATTTCTCAACGAACATCAAAATTCTGTCAGTCTCTATGGCTTTCCGATATCTCAGGTAATGGCACACTAGAGAGCGCTTACCGTGCAACACGTTCGGACGGTCGAGCGACTACGATCAGCAGTTTAGATGACTAATGGTGGGCGAGGACTTGCCGTTCCTTCAACAAGTGATGGGGCAAAGGCTTGCCATTGCTTCATCATGGTCATTGGCATACATGTCGAAAATTGAGCAACCCGTTTTGAAGCGTTAGACCAACTATGTGGCCAATTAATCGGAACATGTAAAGCTGGCGGAATATTGTCCGAAAGCTCACGAATACTCGCCACTTTGCAGAGGTTTAGCTGTTGTTAGAATTCTGATGTTTGAAATGTCAAGTTCACTTCGTCAACTCCTCAGGGGATATATCTTTGAGGGATATTATACTGTCAGTGTATAACTTCTAAAATCTGCAAAGTAGATGCCGACAAACAATTGCCTGCTTTTCTCAATGTCTAAATTCAAATAACTGCGCGTTAGAGTGAATGGTATTGCGTTTTTGACGATGCAGCACAACATTCGTCCTCGATAAGCGGTGCTTATTTGCAGTGCCTAATCTGCGGGAGCAAATTGACAGTAAGTTGTGCGTTCAGCGGTTTAATATTTTTCGAGCGTAAACGGAAGAGAAAAGGTAAGGGGGAGATTTCTGAACTGGTGGCATGTAGCAAGCCAGGCAAAGAAAGGATATTACGAGGGAAGCTAGTTCTCGCCATGATCTTGCAAACTATTCATTCTGAACACTAGCCCCTTCTGACTTCCTGGACTACAGAGACTTCACACGTGCCATACGAAACCAGGGAAATGCCACAGTTATACTCCGTGATCACTTGTTTGAACTCTAGAAAGTTGATCCGAAGTCACAGTTTAGAGTTACGTCTGTTGTGTCTTTCCCTTTGAGAATAGCCGGTTCTCCCGAGAACAGTTCATTAGCTAGGTTTTCACTGCACTTCCCTGACTTGGATATCAAGTGTAATACCTTAAGGACGTCAGAGGCAACAAAGCCGTAGTGATCGCGATGAGTTTCAATACAGTTCGTGTAAAAACACATTTTCCACTTTTTGAGTCGAAAGAGCACTTTTGTTTTTTTTT